GTCCCGTCCTCTTCGGAGTTTGCAGCTGCTCTCGTTGGCAGCTGTCTGGCGGAGCCCCCTGGACGCAGCCGGTGACCCCGGCAGGCTGAGACCCGCGAGGCCGTCACAACAAACTCCGGGTGCCGCAAACTTCATTCTTTTAGATATCGTGTTTCACACAAAGGCAAGATGCGTTCATGTACAGAGGAGGAGGTTATTTCTTACTGAACACTCAAACGTTAGCAAATGGTCAACTGGGAAAACCAAATAAACCCCGAATTGGAGAAAGAATCCAGGAGGACGAGTGAGGAAGTGGCGTGAGGCGGGGGGGGCAGAGCGCACGTGTCCAGGCGGATTTATACATCAGACAATTGTACGCGCATGGATTAGATTACGGATTAAAACAATGGTTTTGCTGAAAGAAAATACTTTTTTTTTTTTTTTTGGGAAGATTAGAATTGATCATAAAAGGCTTTCAATTCAAAAATGCACTATCATCAAATCTAGAAATGACTCCCTGAAATGGACCAATTCCATGAGGCAGATTTCATCACTCCGGGGGGGATTCGTACCCGGAGGCGTTCAGCCGCTCACCTGCAGTATTTCACGGCGCAGTGCTAAATCCCCGCAGCCCGTCGGCCCCGGGCCGTGTGCACGCCTGGCTGGCTGTGGATCGGGACGGAGAGGGGGGGGGTGTGGAGCTAAGAGGCTAATGGTGCGGTGCTGGGGTTAAATCGGTATTACCCCTCATGCAGAGGACAGTCGCGGTGACCCGGTTCGGGGCGGAGAAAGCGTGGTTCCGGTTCCCCTGCGCTCCAACAGGACTTCCCTCTATTACTAATATTACTGTTTTTACTTTAATAACCAGCATCAATTGTCAGTTGTGCGTGTTAATGACAAACACATGAAACTACGTCCGCGTGTCTCATTGGGGAGAAATCCCAACGTTGAGTTTGCGCTTGTTGGCGGATCACCGGTGTGTTTACGGGAACTTTGCTAAAGTGATTTCTCATTGAAGCCGTGCAGTGCGTATATTATATTATAGCCGTGCAGTGCGTATATTATATTATAGCCGTAGAGTGCGAGGCGTTGTCTCATATTCTAAATCCATCTCTCCCTTTACTGCCGAGTCTTTTCCTGCTCTTCGTGCCTCTCACACCCCAGATGCTCATTTAGATCCGATCGCTAATTAATTCCATTTCAGAGCGAAGCGGTACTCGATGTTATGATAAGATGAAAACTAATGAGATCCACGACATTCATTTCTACCCTCATAATTCCCCTTTGAAGGAAAACAGTGAAGAATCCAGGCATGAAAAGGAGAAAGAGATGAACCCAGAGTTTTGGACTAGTTGTTGAAATATACCTTTTCCTAATAGAATATATGGATCAGTTATCCTCTACTTTTGTCTAACGATGACTTGTTTCTGCAGATCAGTTTGGTGTCGTATTCTTTTTCCTCATATGTACGATGACCTCTGAGAGGACGAAGGATAATGAGCATAAAGGAATCGATGTTTACTGTCGTTCTGTGTGTTCGCTGCAGGCCAGTTACCCAACGTGGGAGGACTTCGTAACCAAAGGAGCCAAGCTACAATCCCAGCTCAGGTAAACACACACACACACACACACACAAGTAGGACGCCCATCCAGCGTTTCCCCGAGGTTCCCAACTTTAGGGGGCGCACGTGGTAAGAGAAACACTCGGGGCCTCGTGGAACCCAAAAGGTCCGACTCTACATCCCGTAATGATTATTCTAACTGAAGAGCGCTGCTGAGATCAGAGCGGCGCGTCACATGACTCTCGCGAGCCGACTGGGGACCCCGTGTCTGCGTGCATTGGGTGCAGGGCGAGGCGGTTCCTTCAGGCTGGTAATGAGACCTGCAGTCCCGGTTCTTATCATCGG